TAAAAATCTAACATAGATCCCACTCTGAATTACTGAATTTTGAGAAGTGGATCTTCAGTGAACCTCTAATATTTCCTGTTTAACCTGTGGTCGTGTGTGTGGTATGGTAATGTGTGGTGCTCCAGAAATTGCTGAACTACAACTCTAGATTCCTTAACCGTTAGCTGTACTTCTTAGGGTAGGTTGTTGCCTATCTTGGCACTAAATGTTTATCTCTTGGAAATGCAGGCATCTCACAGACCTTGAAAGACTCTCCAGAAAATATGAGGTCTTGGATAGGAGGGTGAAGGTGCTGGAAGCACAAGTAGCTTTTTCATCAGTGTTTCCAGTTGAGGGCCATGGCACAAGAAGGGGCAACAGAATCCTGGAAGTCAGCAGCTGGATGTGCAGATGGGATCACTGAGAATGAGTAAGATTCAGTGGCAATGGCCAGGATACCTTCATGAAGACTCCTGGAAGGATATAGGATATATCTTACAAAAACCAGGAAGAAAGCGTTTGGCAAGAGAGTGTTAAACTAAAACAGAAGCAGGAGAGTGACACAGACCTAGCACTGAATATGTAGCCAAGGACTAGGGCCAAGAAGTCAGAATATAAAGATGAAACAGGAGGCCAAGTTGGGAACTGAGATATTTAGAGGAAACTATCATGGAGGCTGTAAGTGGTGCCATTCAATATTTCAAATGTTTCTACACCAATACACTGAGTAAGGGAAACAAACAGGGAAGATGAGAAATCCTAACTCAGGAAGACAAATAGGATGGATAGATATCACTGAAACAAGGTGGGATGATATTCATTATTGGCACACAGCACTGGAAGACTACAACTTATTTAGAAGGAACAGAACTAACAGAAGAGATGGGGTGTGCCACTATCTGTAAAGAAAATATATATTTACATAGGAATTCAGGAATCAGAGAACAGAGGTTCTGTTGAAAGTATATTAGTAAGAAACAAAGGAGAGAGAAACAATAGTGTTACCATCAGAGTTTATTACAGGCCACCGAGGCAGAAAGAAGATAAAGATGAGGCCTTTCTGTATCAGATGACCAGTCCCTCAAAGAGGCATGCAATAGTGATAATGGGGGATTTCAGTTATCCTGACAGCTGCTGAAAACCTAACTCTGCCAAAAGTCAAAGGTCCAACAAATTCTTGTCCTCTTTTGCTGACAAATACATTTGTCAGGAGGTGGGAGAAAGAACAAGAGAGTTTCTATCCTGAACCTAATCCCCACCAACAGGGAGGAATTGGTTGAAATGGCTGGCATCTTGGGGAAAAGCAATTAGGTTATCTTTGAATTCATGATACCCAGAGGAAAAGGAATGAAGAAGAGTCAGACCTGGGTACTGGATTTCAGAAGAGTGGCTTTTGATGAACTTTTAGGAGAGGTCTGATCCAATGGCTTAAAATGGAGAACAGTGTCCAGAAAGGATGGGAAGTCCTACAAAATGTTATACTGAAAGCACAATCACAAGCAATTCCCATGAGAAGGAAAAAATAGGAGAAATCTAAGGAAGCATGCAGAACTTAAATGCTGAAGAGAAAAAGGGATATGTACAGGAAATGGAAACAGAAATATAATAAAAGAATAGTACACAGTAGTCTCCATAAAATATAGGAACTGTGCTAGAAAGGGCAAAGCTCAGAAGACTTGTGAGAGATACCAACAATAACAACAAAAGGGGGTTCCTTAGGTACATGAAAAATAAAAGGAAAGCCAAAGAGGATGAGGACTAAAAAAGTGGGGAATTGGTCATGAGTGATGGTGAAAAGGCAGAACTTCTTAACTATCCCACAAATAACCCAGTCATTTGCCATGTAGTGCTTTATGGGTGATAACTAGTATCTTGAATTTTACCTGGAAGCCTATTGGGAGCCAGTGCAGCTTGCAGAGTAGAGCTGTCATGTGGAAGTAGCAAGAGATGCCCATAACTTTTCATGCCATAGCATTCAGGACCAATTGAAACTTCTGAATGGTTTTCAAAGGCAGTCCCATATAAAGTGCATTGCCATAATCCTCATATAGAGTGCATTGCCATAATCCAATTAGTCCACCAATGATTAAGGTGTAAGTCCAGGAATGGGAGTAATTGCCACACGATGAAGTTGTGCAAAGGCCTCCCTGGCCACAGCTGCCATTTGCTCTTCCAGCAGGAGCTGTGAATCTATGAGGAACCCCAAATTGCACACTGAATCTAAGCAGGGCAATGCACCCCAACTCAGAGTCAAGGATGAAATCTCTCCAGCTCCAGGACTCATGGGTCTTGGTAGAGTTGAGCTGAAGTCTGTTCTTTCCCATCCAGACCCCTCCCCCCCAGCCTTCAGACACTGGGACAGATTCTGGATATACTTGTCAAACACAAATTTATCAGCCATCAGTGTGATTGATGCAGCTGCAAAAAATAGCAAATGTTATCCTGGGATGCTTTTGTAGAAGCACAGAATCCAGATCATAGGAATAATTGTCCCACTCTACTCTGCCTGGTCATATGCCATTTGGAGTGCTGTGTCCAAGTCTGGGCAACTATGAGAGGATGGCTGAGGCAGAAAAGCTATCTGCCCACCATTTAAACATTTTGCATTTAGGCATATATTGGGGGGGGGGTCAGACTCATTAAAAGAGGGACTTGACTATCTTAGAGCTTTCAACAGTTGAGACTCAGTGTTGTGACTCACTTGAGACTCAGAGATAAGTATAGCACAGTATTAAAAGCTGGGAAGGGAAAAGAAAAAGAAAAGAAAAGACCATAAGAAAAAAGTAGGAAAAGAAACAAGAGAAGAAGGAAAGTATAAAATCTCAGAGAAGTTAGGAGATGTGATGCAATGTCTAACAGACCTTGGGAGCATGGAGGATGCAGCAAGACAGTTAAGGGAGGAAACAAGTCTGTTACAGAAGAGATTCTTGAGTCCAGGGAAGAGCAGAAATGTGAGAAAGATACTCAGAATCTATTTACACTAGATATAAGTTGTCCAGAAGAATTACTTTGGTCGGCTTTTAATTTTCTGTTACATCTTGAACCATCAAAGTTGGTGATTCAAGTGCTGCTGTTACATCACTAGCTATAAAGTTCTTTACAGAAATCCAAGTATTTTTGTCTCCTGATCTTGCCAGCCTTGCATGGCTTGACAGATGCCAGAGGGATAAGAGGTATTTGCAGCCCAGACTGACAGCATGAATATCCCAGAAATGAAATTTGAGAGGCGTTTCTGGGAACCAGGACAGCCAGCCTTGAAGGGGAGTCATGGAGGAGCAAGAAGCTCCATAGTGACAAGCTGTGTTCCCAGAGGGGAAGGGTGGGTGGGTGGAGAAGAAAGGAAAGGGTTTCTTTCCCTCCTTTTCCCTTATCCATCCTTAAAATGCTGTGCAGAAAACAGAGAACTGGGCAGTTAATAACCAAGTTCACTGTTCACTTGATAAGCAAAGTTTGTTTTCTAAACAGTTGGTCATGATAAGAGGTGTCTATGTCCTGTCTGGAGCTGATGCCATCCAGAACCCTGTGACAGTACCACAGTTCAAAAGGACAATGACAAACTGGAGCAAATTCAGAGGAGGTCTATCAAGATGGTGAAGGGACTGGAAACCAAGCTCTAGGAGGAATTATGTTTGGCCCACAGCAAAGATGACTGAGAGGAGATATGACAAGAGTCTTCAAATAACTGAAAGATTGGGACACAGAAGAGGCAGTGAGCTTATTCTCTATTGCCCCGGAGGTCAGGACCAGAGTGATGGGTTAAAACTACAAATAAACAGGTTTAAGTTAGATATCAGAAGGAGGTTCTTGACTGACAAGCAATGAATCTGTAAGATCTCTTCCAGTCCTATGATTCTATGACCTGTACTCAGATCAATGCAAAAATCAATGTATTCCTTGCAACGGTGAAGAATCAATGTACCATCATCATCATTATCACCATCATCATCTTGTATATCCTTTTGTGTTAGAAGACACACACCAACATTGGATGTAATTTGTTTTTATGTGACCACTGATATATAAGATCCAATTCTGAGCAAAATGCAGTCTCCAAATGCTTTATCCACTGGATTCCTGCACTGGGCAGGGGGTGGGACTCGATGGTTTCCAAGATTCCTTCCCACCCTCACATCCAATGGTTCTACCATTTTAGTGGCTTTCAGCATGCCTGAAATTAGTGCTAAATTGTGGCTTGAGGATGGACTTTCAAATATTTCTCTTTACTTTTTCCAAGATGATGTAACATGTTTGAATTATAATAGAAAGCTTGTGACTTTATGACCCTGTAAATCCATACAGTTTGGAAACTCATGAAGGCTTGACACAAAAAGTTCACAGCAATCAGGCTGAAGTTTAATCAGCACATGGGGACAAAGCTGTTCATTTCCTTCCCTACATATTTAACCACTGGGGCCATAGAAACCTCATTCCATTTTTTCCATCTAGATTTTTAACCCAAGGGCAAATCCACTTTCTATGTCTTTAGTTCATAAACATTAGGCATAACTTCAAATAGTTTTTATAATTCACAGGGTTCTTGCAATATTCATCTACAGTTTTTGCATACTACTCAAGACCACACTCCAGTTCAGCTTTCCCCAACTTTTAGACACACTTGACTCTGTTTCTCATAATCCCAGACTCCCTGATGTGTTAGAATTGTCCTCTAACACATTAGAAAAACACCAGTTTAGGAGAGGCTAATATACCTTCCTGTGAAGAAGCAAGAGTCACTTTCTCGTAGACCAGATTATACACTCAGGTAATGGACTACCCACGTGCAGCCAACTGACATCAGAAGGTAGGAAAGAACTGGCCAAGAATCAGCCCCAGAAACTCAAGCACAGAATAAATAAATATTTTGGTTTGTTTCTTAGTTACCTTTCCATAAGTATCCATATATGCAAGGGGAAATTAATCCAATTCTCTTGTCTATGTCATAGAAGAAAGTTAAAAAATGAACACATATGACATTGTCTCTGGTCTTAATATGAAGAGTTCTATGATAAGGGAGAACTTACAGCCTTTGTAGATGTCTGTAGGTATCTGTACAGCAGCATATGAGTAGTTAACTTTGGTTTTAAAATTGTCATCTTCTATGAATTCCAGCTTCAAGGAATTGGATTTCTCTCTTTCAATTTCTTCCCCCTCTGGGTCATCCTAGGGAAAGAAAAGAAGTCATATCGTCAAAACTCAAGTCAAGAAAATAGTGATGGTGCCCCAAAAGATTTTTGCCTTTGAGCAGGCCCTAAGAAAGAGGAACCGCCATGTTCTTACTTTCAAAATTGACTCAATGGGCTTTGGAGGTCCCAAATAGGAGGCCAGCTTGGGGAACCTCCACAGCTGCTGATCTGCTATCAGTGGCCAACCTGAGTGTTCAGCTACAAGTGATGCTGCTATCCATGCTTGCATTGTGCTAACCTAACAACTGTACGTATGTGTGTGTGTATTCATAGACACACAAACATTGATATAGGGGTTAACATTTTTGGGTTATATTCTTATAAAACGGTTTGTGCCATATCCAAAGTCTGAGTTTTTCCTAATAAAATATTATTATATTTAATCTTTTTATGGTTAAATTCATTACTTTTTCTAGATTCCACAGAAATTATTATATATTTTTTTATCCCAGTCTATAACTTATAATTTGAGTCATACTGGTTACAATTGTGTTATAATATAATAATCCAGTTTTAATATTGATTGACTTCAGTACTGATTTAAATCTTCACACTGATATAACACATTTTAAAATGCAGATTTATATAACTGTGACTTTAAAATTTGGTAGCAAATTTTATGATCCTGGTAGGATTTCTTTAAAACACATCTTTTTGTTCAGAATTAAAGCCTCTGCCTCCCATTTTATTGTTTTCTTGCAACAATCCTGCAAAATATTCAGGATGGCAAGTAATGCACCCGGCAGACTTTTCTTCTGAAATGGAGGAATCCACCTCACAGTTCCCATTCTTAACAGTTACAGTGCACCACTAGTGACAGTGTCTCCTATCCAATGATCTACCCATTCCATCATATGTGTGCGTGTGCGTGCGCGTTGCTAGGAAACTCAGATGTTTATATCCCTCAGCACTCCTGAATAAACTCCATGGCAACAGCTGCCTGGGAATGGCATAGCTGCTATGATGCTCTACCAGGCCGAGGTGGCTTACGAAGCAAACTGAGAAGATGTCTGGATTCCTAACTACCTCCCAGGCTCTGTTTTCCTTGCCTTTCAGTTTTCAGTAGCGCAGCAGGTATTAAATCAGACAAGCCCCCCCCTTGAAAATCAATTAGCAGCAAAAGGCAACTATCAAAGAACAAATTAAAACACAGTGGAGCTTACTGCTCTGTCAATAAGCAATGCAAACAATATTTAATTATGGCACAGAAAGGGAGAGAGAAAGAGAGATTGTGCTTCCTCCTTCCCTTCTTGACAGAGATCTCAAAAGAAGTCTTGGTTTACTCTTTAAAAGGAGATTTAGCCTTTTTTGGCAGAACCCCCCCCCATTTTTTTTTTCCCTTGGAGTTCCAGAATTGAGAACCCTTCATCCTGTTGGTTGAAGAGCAGTGCCACCATCTTTGAAGCAGATTTTTCTGCGGAATCCACCTACTTGGACCAACTCCTGCAGGTCAAAAAAAAAGTGGTGTGTGGGGAGGAACTAACCTTCAAAAACAGGCATAACCAGGACCAAACCTTCCTTCCTTGCTAGCATCTTATTAACAGGAAATGCACAGTGAAGCAGCTAAAACTAAGAGGTAACAAACAGCACAGTGAAATGAATTAAACCAACCCATATTTATTTTTGTTTCAGAAAATTGTTTAAAAATTGCTAAAGTGATTAGAGCATTAATCACTTTAATTAGAGCCACTACATAGCAGAAATAAAACTGAAAAGCAAACCACAGTGCAGCCCTAAGATTACAATAAACAAAAAAACGGGGAGAATAATAGCATCTAGAGACCTGTCTTTGGGGGGGGGGGAATACTAAGATAACTGGAGAAAGATACTAAGTAGTCACTAACTACACCTATACATGGGTGAGACATTTGGAATAAATATGAGAACTATCCTTTCAGATACTGTGCTCCCTATCCATTTTTAGCTGAGATAACCATTCCTGAAATGGCTTTCTTGTTCTAGAAGGTTTTGAAATTAGATGTGGGATTTTTTTTTTCATGTTGGACCATATATTGGCTTTTTTTAAAAAAGAAACTCCACGCATAAGAAGATAAATACTTAAATGTAAGTCAAGGAGAAGCTTCCAACACCTTATCTCAATTATTATTAGGAGGAAGGCGATGATATAGCTAAAGCTGTTGGAATCAAGAGAGAGAACACAGGAGAAAATGAGGCGGAGAGGGAGAAAACACACCAGCTTTCTCCAACTTGGTGACCACCAGATCAGTTGGAATTCGAAGTCCTTAATCCCCACAGGATGCATTAGCCAGAAATTTTGACAGCTGAAATCAGGAGTTCACCACAGCTCTCTCTGTGTTCTCTTCCTTGGTAACTTTGCCTCATATTCTACCTCTGATTTGTACCATTAAGCAATTGGAGAATCACCCTAGCTTCTTCTGCCACTCTCTCTCTCTCTCTTTTTTTTTTTACATCATTGGAATTTTTAAAAATATTTTTTTAGCACCTCCTTTTTTATAACTCCAACCCAGTTTAAGCAACTTTTCCCACTAATTTCTTCTGCCATGAGATCCTGCTTACCATTGCTTGAGTTTATTAAAATCTTATTTGAAGTTCATACTCTTAGTTTTGATTTCCCTTAAAATCAAGAATTTCAGCTTGGTATGGTCACTTTCTCCCAATATTCCTGTTGCTTCCACTTCAGCTAAGGCTTTCCTATTGGTTAGGAACAAATCAAGCATGCCTGATCCTCTTGTGCCTTTCTATCTTTCTGGAAAGAAATGTCCCCTAAAAAGATCTGCAAATTATTTTTGGAAAGCACCATCTACATCTTCCTCTTGGTTGGGAGGACCACAGTGAATACCAACAACAGCACTGGTTTTATTCATTTCTCCACTAATTGTGATCCAAATGCTCTTTACAGAAATGGTCTGATTTCAGCCATGTTCTTGATCTTCTTTGAGAAAGGGAGATTGTGAAGAGAGAGAGAGAAAACAGGAATTGAGATAGCAACTCCACAGATGTGTATTTCTGTCAAGTTTGTGCTTTCCATCAGTCTTCTTTACCATAAGGAATCTTAAAATATATGTTCCCAACATGAGCAACTTTGCTTCACTACAGTTAATTTCTATGGAGATCCTTTTAGATTGTAGACTTCTTTATAAACTGAGATGAGTGTTTATTTAGACCTAAGGTTATGGTGTGTGTTCTGAGAATATATAGCATTTATCTTTTATCCAAGATACTGAAGATAGCACACATTTCAAAATTGTTAATAGTCACAATCTCCTTAGTGAAAGAATCCTTTTTGACCAAAAAAGAGAGAAAAAGAAAACAGACACTATTGACAGGTGACTTGTATATACAGGTAGTCCCTGGGTTAAGAATGCCCAGTTTAAGGACCACCCATAATTAAGAACGAAACCTATTGTAGCAAAATTTGAGTCAAATACACAGTGATTCAAGTTAAATACACAAGTTAGTTACACAATAATACTTATACAGTATTATACAATTATACTATTCCGGCTTACGTACAAATTCAACTGAAGGACAGATCTTGGGAACAGAACTCGTTCTTAAACTGAGGACTACTTGTATTACCTATAATAGCAAGGTTTTGAGAAAGTAACTAAGACCACCCATAATTAAGAACGAAACCTATTGTAGCAAAATTTGAGTCAACTACACAGTGATTCAAGTTAAATACACAAGTTAGTTACACAATAATACTTATACAGTATTATACAATTATACTATTCCGGCTTACGTACAAATTCAACTGAAGGACAGATCTTGGGAACAGAACTCGTTCTTAAACTGAGGACTACTTGTATTACCTATAATAGCAAGGTTTTGAGAAAGTAACTAAAATTATAAGTCCTAGGGGAAATAAAACTGAATGTGCAGCAGCTGATATGAATTTATTTGGGGGGAAATTCTCAGTTCTGCATAGACATTTCTTAATAGAATAGCTGAAAGATTCCATCTCACCCAAGGGCTCTCATTTCATCTCACTATATAGCAACTAAGAAATGAAACACCAATGAATGTTGTTTTTAATCTTGCTGCAAAGTGTACCTGGATGAAACTACAATCATTAGGACTAGAAATATTAAAATGGGATTATTAGAATTCTAGCTAGTATCTACAACTCTTGGGTCATATGAAGCATCTTGCTAGGAATGTAGCAAGATGCTTATGTGCCAACAATGCTTATGTGCCAATCTGCAGTTCTCCAGTATTTCAAAGAGGGGATCTATCCAGCTTGACCTGAAAATGCCAGGGCTTATGCTATAGCCCCTTGCATGCAAAGTATGTGCTCTACATTGAACTATGCCATTTTTTTTTATCATTGTTATAAAGTAATATCATGCACAAACAATGTTTTGGCACTTGGCAGATCACATGATATGGTCCATGGACAATGTCCATTTAGGTAAATGATATATTGTCCAGATCTAGATTAGATTCTGAACAGTGGGAGGAAAATACCTGTTTGTTTATTGATATACAGTGCTAATCATTGGAAGTATAGTACCAATAGTATGCGTTACTCAGTTTTGCAAATATCAGATAATTATTATTTCTCATGAAGATGCTCAAGAGCCTTCTTTACTGACAGAGGGCAAAGTTACGTATAGTAGTCAGAGCAGGCTTTCCCCAAATGGGTGCCCTCCAGATGTCTCTTCAACCTTCAGAATTCTCAGCAAGGGCCATACCAGCTGGGGAGTTTGGGGAGAAGGGAACCCAGAATAGGGATAGCTGAATTAAAGAGTTTCATGTGGATGGGAAATTCAGATTCAAATCCACATTCAGTCATAAATCTCACTGGGTGACTTGGACTGATCACAATCTCTCATTCTAACCTATCTTATTGGGCTGTTATGGGGATACAACTGTACATTGCTTCGAGTGCCTAGAAGAGGAAAGGTGAGGTGGAAATTGAATGAACAGATGAGTAACAAATTACCTGGCTGATTTTCTATTATCTCCATTGATGCATGTATTTATACATAC